AAATAAAAGATGTACCATGTTGTTTATCACATCACAATTAATTACATTTCACGAATTTGCGCTCTGTTATGTTACATTTTACAAATTCGGACATCACATTGACAATTCACAAGCGAAGGAACGTCTCACGTTTTAACATTAACGCTCAGTCTTCTTGTTTCGCCCGCATTTTGACTCGTTTCAGTTCCTCGTAACGCACAACGTATTCGTTCACCGTTGCGCACGGGTCTCCATTACTCTCCACGGTGAGTTCGAGAGAGGAGAACAGGCTCTCCAATAGATGACTCGGCCACTCGTCAGTCGATTTAACAATCGTTTCGATCAGGTCCTCGATTTGCGAATGAAAAAGTTTCTCGGTGCTGGACGGAACCGAGGAGGCACCGGATATTACTCTTTGCCGTTTAAATGGCGGACCCTCGCCGGACGCGTTGTACTCTCTTTTGATATTCGTCCCTGTTAATCATTAAGTTTACAAAAGCATACAAATCGATCACGATATATGTAACTGACACGTTAATAATCTTAAGAAAGAGTGTACGTAAGTTATGAAAATAGTTTATAAAATTGATTAATTAGCAATTACTCGATTTGGGAGACGTCCTGTGCGAGGATCGTACAGCTTCGAGCTTATTTCGCGCTTTCGAATGCGTTTTAATCTTTCTGGTCGAATGTGCCGCGCTAATCACTTCGAGACCCATCACGATGCACATTAAAAGCCGATAAATATCGCATGTAAAAACTTATACGCTAAAAACATACCTAATAATCCATTGGAATCGGCGGAGTGTACGTGGCTTCTCAGCCTTCTATTTTCGCTCTTCAACTTCTTTGGATATGATATTGGCACCAGATCCACTGCGTTTGTTGGAAATTCAGTTTACTACTTAATGATTATACATTGTTAAACAAATAATTACCTTGCGAAGAGCGATCGGAAAGATTATCGGATTTTCCATTAAACAATTGCTTGAAAAAGGAACGTCGTTTTTGCGGCGATGGCGATTTCACTTCATATATCTCGCCGCGATTATCGTCGTACAATTCAGCAATCTGGATCAAGCGGTGCAAGCAGATAATTGTGCAAACAGAGTTGGCTGAATTAGCTTATTCTTTTTAATTAAGTTAAGTTAAAGTTATGAAATTCTATGAAATTAATCCAGTTACGTTTTAAAAATTATATTGGAACAAAAAAGTAATTTGGTTCAAAAATTAATTTGGTTTGAAATCAATACTGTTATTTCGTTTGAGCCACTTTTTTTAAAAACAATTCTATAAAATTCCCTTCTACTATTTTTAGTCTTCTTGTGTCTTCATTAATATAAATTTAAATGCAAAACATTATGGATAAAATCGAGAATAAGATTAAATGAAAACATGTTACTAAAACAACAAGATTATTAACCTCCGACGGCAAATTAACGTGTCGACACTGGGCGGTCATCAACACGAGCATGTATACCGATCGGTCGAGACCATGCAATAAGGAGGTAAAAACCACTCTAGCCGTCTCATCTACCAAATCCCACCAAGTCAGGATGCCGGGCACATAGAGCAACGCCGGTAAAGTACGACGCGCGGTCTTGATCTTCTATTATTACATTAACAAAACGACTAACGTCTGACATTTTTTTCAAGGCCAGAAAAGAAGCGGTTTCAGTCTACTTGTATCATGGCTTCCTCAGCCGCCTTGCCCGTTTCCTCGAACAGCGTCGTGACATCCAGGATGTGACACGGTAGATGTTCCAGATTATGCAGCAACGCCGGTCCCAGATGACGTGTGTGGGAATCGTCGTCACCGCACAACAAAATTCGCGGGCAATCTCTCGACTTGGACATGGCCTCGCCTGTACTGCGATCATGCACGGATTAGTAATTAATTAATTAATTAATTAATTAAATAATTTTTGTTCCCATTTGTCTTACGTTTGTCTTACTTACATGCTATCGGAAGTCAGCATTCCGACTGGACAAAGTATCTGTAAGCGCGATAGGATTTCTATTAGGTCCTCTTGTAACAATGGTTGAATCTTGGAAGATAAACACTTGATCGGGGCGACGATAACGCGATGCGACGCGGGCACGATGTTCCTACACGCTTTCAAGAAATCTTCTTTCTCTACCTACATTTCTCTCGTTAATTATCCCGCTCGATGTGAATAATGTAAAATATATCGTAAAATATAATATTTAATAATAAAATAGTCTCGTCTTAGATGTCTTACTTTAAGATGGCGTTCATTGATGTGATACTTAGACTTGGAATTATAGATCTGTGGATAATTCCTACGAACGGAACACATAACCGCTTCGGCACAAAGAGCTTGCAAATCACTGCCGCAAAATCCTAAAGTCTTCGACGCCAAATACGCCAAGAATTTTTGCGCTGGTTTCTGTTTCCAGCTTTTAACGTGCACCTATAATCATCGAACATTTTACGGAAAGTTAACGTGTTCGTTTTACGTTAATAAACCTTAAATAACGTTTATTTATTTTCTTTCTCCTGATCTTCTAACGAGTGAAAACGATTAACGACGAACCGAAAGTATCTCCTTTCTGGCACTGTAACAAGGCAAGGGAAAATATAGTTCTTTGTCAAATCTGCCAGGTCTTCTCAGAGCTGGATCTATCGCATCGATCCTATTAGTCGCGCCTATTACTATAATCTCGGAATTATTGTCTAGACCGTCCATCAGAGCCAGGAGAGTAGAGACCACACTGGTATGGACAAAGTCCTGTCGACTAGACCTCACAGGCGCGAGACCGTCAACCTCGTCGAAAAAAATAATACACGGCTTCGTCTGTCGTGCCTAAAGAAAAAGAACAGTCATTTCTTCAGAAACAAACAAGACTTATTCTTAAATAGATAGATAAAACTTTTCATGGAGATTTGACTTTACTATAATTTGCTCACAAGTTTCTCAAGAATCAAGTCAAGAATAACTCGGATCTTAAATCTTCTACTTAAGTCTCTGAACTGGACGTCACATATAGAAATTTAAGAATAAGCGGGATTGATAGGAATTGTAAAGATTAAATTTCACCGACCAACGAGAATATCTTCTCGAGTTTTTTTTCACTCTCGCCGACCCATTTGCTGAGACAGTCGGAACCCTTGCGTGAGATAAAAGAGACTTTGCGCTCGGAATTGCTGCATTCCGTCGCCAATGCGCTGGCTACGAGAGTTTTTCCTGTTCCTAAAGGACGAAATATATAAGAGATTAATTAGCGGCGCTAATTAGCAGCAGATACTATACCTGGCGATACTATACCTGGAGGGCCGTGGAACAGTAAACCACGTGGCGGTCTGAGATTGAATTTCACGTACACATCGCCGTACATCAGCGGAAACAGGACCATTTCCTTCACAATTCTGATATGTTTCTCCAGTCCTCCGACGCAAGAGAAATCTTTCGCCATGCCGGACATCTTTGTCTCTCGACAGACTAGAAATCCAGAAAGAATCGCCAATCTACCTCTATCCCTGTTCGCCTCCGTCAATCCGCGTATATAATCCCAATGCGCGAAATTTCAGTTACTGTCGTCGACGTCTTCTAATTTATTTCGCACATGCTGAGGTGAATCCTGTGATCGGTATCGTCACTGGAATTTTTACGCGAGCGAGTTATTCGGAATTATGAGAATCTACTGCTTAATTTCAACATTATTCCTGACGTGTTCGCCAGCCGACAGACGAGAAGTCGGGCGGATCGATTGTAGTATCGACACGAGTAGCGTTCGTATGTTTCGCGCTACGGAGATAAAAAAATTTTATATAAAAAATTTATATATATATATATATATATATATATATATATATATATATAATAATTATTAATAATATA